CAGATGTAGTCAATTTTATTTCTCTGTATTCCATCTGGTGAAGTGCATGTGTCTCTTATGCTGTGTTAATTAGGTATTTGAAATGAACAAATCATTGGTTTTGCAGAACTCTTATCATGCTTTCTCCAGCATCATTTCTATCACCAATGCCATATTTTCTAAGTACTGATCCTTCCTCTTTGCTCCTAACCTTTGTATTCCAGTCACCAGTAATGAACAATACATCTTGATTGAATAGTTGATCAATTTCAGATTGAAGAAGTTGTTAGAATTCTTCTATTTCATCCTCACTGGTTTAGTGGTTGGTGCATAAATTTGAATAATAGTGGTATTAACTGGACTTCCCTGTAGATGCATGAATATTATCCTATCACAGACAACATTGTACCTCATGACTGATCTGGATATGTTCTTTTTCATGATGAATGCAACACCATTCCTCTTTAATTTGTCATTCCTGGCATAGGAAACCATGTGGTTGTCAGAGTCAAAATGGCCAATACCAATCCTTTCCAGCTCATTAAGGTCTAAAATATCAATGTTTATGCATTCCATTTCATTTTTAACAACTTCCAATTTTCCCAGATTCATACTTCATACATTCCATGTTCTGATTTTCAGTGGATGTTTACAGCAGTTTCTCTTCATTTTGAGTTGTGCCTCATCAGCAAATGAAGGTCCTGCAGACTTTTCTCCCACGAGCTTTACTCCATTCGCGTCATTATGGTCAACTCTACTCTCAGGAGGCAGCTCTTCCCCAGTAGCATTTTGAATGCCTTCCAATCTGAGGGGCTCATTTTCTGGCACTATATCTGACAGTGTTTCTTTGCTATTAATAAGGTTTTCAGTGACTAAATATTTGGAAGTTTGTTTGTCAGTCTTTCTTCCTAGTCTGTCTTCATTTGGAAGCTCATCTGAAACCTGTCCTCCATGGGTGGCCCTGCTGGTTATTTAAAATACTGGTGGCATAGCTTTCAGAATCACAGCAACTCACAACCCACCACAGTACGACAAACTGACATACAAATGGTGGCAGTTTGGTTTTAAGTGGAAACTGTCACTTTAAATTTCGAGGAGATATTTGTGCATGCATAGTAGAACCCTCCAGGGGTGGGGATGGCGTGTCCATTCGCTCAGGCATCCCCTCTAGTCACCAGAATGGAGGTGCACAGACAGAAGAAGAATGTCCACACCTGTATCTCTGCCGTTCTGTCAGGCGTTCATGGCTGTTCTGATCCTTAGCACACTTAGTCTCTCTCAAGACGGCAGCTCTGGGAGCAGCTGAGCGTCTTGAAATAGAAAGCAATTGATTTCTTGATTCTGCTACCAATTCCCCTAGCTGTAAGCCTTCCAAGCTTCTAAATATTCCTTTATATGTGGTTCAGAGTTCTAGCACCATCCCTTGAGCCTCCTTGGTCTGGTATTCTGAGTTGTTGCTGATAGAGCTCCTCGCTGCATGTCTACCAGATCTGCCATCTTGTTGGTGGCATCTAAAGGCATGCTTTAGAGATAGGAAAATTCACCTTGTGCTTTGGGGTCAGCAGTTAAATTCCATAATGTATAGACATCAAAGCCACGTGGCCCTGGAGGTGGTGTGCATCTAAAATTGACCTTGTTTGATCAGATAAATCTTCTAGTCTTCTACCTTGGTACATGTTTTTGTAAATCCATTTATCAATGTTTATTATAAAAATAGCTTGAAGGCCAGGTGTGTTCTCCTCTAGCTTTCCAAAGAGGAAGGAGACTCCAACTCAAAATCAGCCCAAGGCCCAATCCTGTGCAGCAGAAGTCAGACATGCCTCTACCCTTTAACCTTCTTTTTGTATAGTAGTCTGACACTTACCATCCCTCCCACAACACTTTCACTTCTCTGCTGGGTTTGACAGTTCATTCCTGTAAGCCACACAGAACTCACAGACAATACTCACGATTGGGTAATTTGGTCAGAAGGGCCTCTTCTCAGCTGTATTGCAAGCATGCTTCTCTCATCCCCAGTCTCTCAGCCATGTGGCCCCTTGGCCTCTGCCTTGCTGGGCCAAGTGTTTCAAAGCTCCTATGGTGCTGCTGATAAATGCCAAAAGGTCTATTTTGCAAGCCAGCTTTCTGTCCAAAGGCACTCAGCTGTACTCACTCCAGCGGCCAAGAGTTTGTTGCTCTGTCTTTAGTATCTTCGCCTCTGCTTTTCCACAAAGGGATCTCACACTCCACCTGTGGTCCTTAGAGAGTCCTTCTTAAACCTAGCAGGATGGCAAAACTTAACCAGTCTCTATGCTAGAGTCCTGTACACCCTATTTGCATCGTTCCACCCAATCATTAAGGGTCCTGATGTGGCACTGTAAGATAAACACTGGATTGCTAACCCCAAGGTTGGCAGTTTAAACCCACCAGCCACTCCTTAGAAATCCTATACACTATAAGTCAGACCTGACTCAATGGAACTTAAGAACACCAACAACCCAAACAGTTGGTGGGAATTTCAAAAACTTTGGTAGATGCACCAGTGTACATTGTACCACGTTTTAAAGTAAGTTCTTAACAAAAGAATCAAACCAAAAAAAAAAAAAAAAAAAAAAAATCTGGTGTTTGAAAGATGCAGCTTTTACTTGCCTGTACTCTTGGAGATTTTAAGTTTCCAGCACTTGTTACTCCTTAACACAGTATAAACTGTTACTTGAGAACATTTGTTTGTAGAGCAGGTTTTCCACTATCATTATTATCTGATATGAACAACATTTTCATTGTCAGTGCTAATGTATTTCTATTTGTCTTCCTCTCCAGATGATGGAAACTTTAGGCATTGATTTTCCACCCTCTGTAAAATCTACCAAAGGCAGCAGTCAACAAGGCAGATTTGATGAACTGGAAAATCTGAATTCATTAGCTGAAAGCAGTCTGGATTTAGGTTTGTGTTGTTTTGTTTGTTTCTCATAAACACAAATTACATTATTTTGCAATCCTTCAGTTTTATTTTTGCATACAGTGAATGTCACAGAAACATTTTCATTTGTTCTGATGTTTAAAATTTAAACCTATGTATTCATTAATCTAACGAGCCCTGGTGGTGTAGTCCAGGGCATAGTAGGTTATGTGTTGAGCTGCTAACCACAAGGACAGCAGTTTGAACCCCCCAGTCTCTCCAGTGGAGCAGTTCAAGCTGACCTTGTGGTCCAGTACTTATCCTACAGCGCCTCACCAGGACTCTGTCTATAGAGTTACTGAATTGGAATCAAGTTGGAGGCAGCAGGTTTGGTTTGTTGTTGTTTAGTACTGACGAGAGGTTCAAACCTACTTGCAGGTCCTGTGCATTACCTTACAGCATTCCCATTAGGACTTCTTGTTAACATGGATCAAAATGAAAAGTTGTTACTTACACAAAATCCGAAGTCTTTACTAATATATATTAAAATATCTGATGCTACTAAGTGGTACTGTTAGCTCATGGACTGAGGCTGTTAAATATTAATGAAGAGAGGCATATTTTAAACATTTATGAAGCATTTTTGTAGCCATATATTACAGTCAATTTTGGTACATTAATAACTTAGTTTCCATTAAAGAATTTAAAAAGTGTAGTACCTCGTCTTGCCACCCTCCACCTCATATCGATTCTTATATATCCCTAAAAGCTTGACTTAAGAATATAATTTTCCTTCAGCCAACAGTGAAATATCAAATGTTATTACAATATTAACATTCCTAGGTGAGAATATTCAATTCTTTTATAGCACAGGGATTTCGAGAGCCATTGTTGAGGATTTATGTTGCCCTTTTCCTGTTATAACTGCTGGTAGGAAAAGCCTTTCTATGTTGGGCATTTCTTGTATTGTATGGCAATATGTTGAAATGGGAGAGAGAGAGTTATAGAAAGTGATGTTGCAGTTTTATGTGAATTCACAATTCTGTTAAGTAAACTCTTAGGAGAGGAATCCTAAATAGTCAAGACTGAAGGTTCCTAATAGGTAATAACAGTTGTTAGTGGGGCTGAGGAACTGTGTAGCAAAATTTCCCAATGCAATACATCATTTGATTTGTTAACTGCTGCTTCCATGAATATGGATTATCTACCCAAGTAAAATGAAGTTTTTGACAACTTTAATTTTTTTCTCCATTTATTGTTGTGAAGACTTCTGTTTTTTTGTTTTTTGTTTTTTTACTGAGGTTCAATGCATACTGAAGGTTGTAGTCTTTGATCTTCGTCAGTAAGTATTTTAAGTCTTCCAGCAAGGAAGGTTATATCATCTGCATGTTGTAGACTGTTAAGGAGTCTTCCTCCAATCCTAATACCTCATTCTTCTTCATATAATCCACATTCTCAGATTATTTGCTCTGCATATAGATTAAAGAAGTATGGTGAAAGAATACAGCCCTTACACAAAACTTTCCTGATTTGAAACTATTCAGTATTCCCTTGTTCTTTTCTAACGACTGCCTCTGTGTCTCTGTACAGTTTGCTCATGAGCAAAATCAGGCATTCTGGAATACCCATTCTTCTGAATATTATCCATGCTTTGTCATGATATACACAATCATTGTCAATAAAGCACAATTAAAGATATTTCTTTTATTCTCTGCTTCCACCAAGATCTATCTGATGTTAGCAGTGGTATCCCTAATTTAATGTCCTCTTCTGAATTCATCTTGAATTCCTGGAAATTCCATGTTCATATACAGGTGTGGACATTCTTTTTTCGTATCTGTTCATTGGTCTCTCGCTGTCTATGCAACTCCATTGTAGTGACTAGAGGGATGCCTGAGCGAATGGACACACCACCCCTACCCCTGGAGCATTCTACTATGCATGCACACATATCTCCTCCAAATTTAAAGTGAGTTTCCACTTAAAACCAAACTGCCACCACTCATCTGTCAGTTTGTCATACTGTAGTGGCTTGTGAGTTGCTGTGATTCTGAAAGCTATGCCACTGGTATTTTAAATACCAGCAGGGTCATCCATGGTGGACAGGTTTCAGATGAACTTCCAGACAAAGATAGACTAGGAAGAAAGAGTGACAAACTATTTCCGCATCTTTAGTCACTGAAAACCTTATGAACAGAAAAGAAACACTGTCAGATATAGTGCCAGAAAATGAGCCCCTCAGATTGGAAGGCACTCAAAATGCGACTGGGGAAGAGCTGTATCCTCAGAGTAGAGTTGACCATGATGACATGAATGGAGTAAAGCTCATGGGAGAAAAGCCCGTGGGACCTTCATTTGCTAATGGGGCACAACTCAAAATGAAGAGAAACAGCTGTAAAAATTCATTGACAATTGAAACATGGAATGTATGAAGTTTGAATCTGGGAAAATTGGAAGTTGTCAAAAATGTAATGGAACACATAAACATTGATATCTTTAGGCATTAATGAGCTGAAAAGGACTGGTATTGGCCATTTTGAATCTGACAACCACATGGTTTACTATGCCAGGAATGACAAATTAAAGAGGAATGGTGTTGCATTCCTTCATCATCAAAAAGAACATATCCAGATCAGACATGAGGTACAATGCTGTCTGTGATAGGATAATATTCATGCATCTACAGGGAAGTCCAGTTAATACCACTATCATTCAAATTTATGCACCAACCGCTAAACCAGTGAGGATGAAATAGAAGAATTCTACCAACTTCTTCAATCTGAAGTTGACTAAACATTCAATTAAGATGTATTGCTCATTACTGGTGATTGGACTTCAAAGGTTGAGAGCAAAGAGGAAGGATCAGTAGTTGGAAAATATGGCCTTGGTGATAGAAATGATGCTGGAGAATGCATGATAGAATTCTGCAAAAGCAATGATTGTTTATTTCAAATACCTTCTTTAGACAGCATAAGAGACGACTATACACATGGACCTTACCAGATGGAACACATAGAAATCAAACTGACTACATCTGTGGAAAGAGACTATGGAAAAGCTCCATATCATCAGTGAAAACAGGCCAGGGGATGACTGTGGAAAGACCATAAATTATTCATATGGTTGATGTTCAACCATTTCAAAATGTAGCATATGATCAAGAGCCAATGATACTGAAGGAAGAAGTCCAAGGTGAATTGAAGGAATTGGCAAAGAACAAGGCACCAGGAATTGATGGAATAAAAATTGAAATCTTTTAAGAAAGTGAGGTGGCACAGGAGGCACCTGTGCTGCATCTCTGCCACGAAAATTGGAGAACAACTATCTGGCCAATTGATAGGAAGAGATCCATATTTGTGCCCATTCCAAAGAGACGTGACCCAATGGAATACAGAAATCATCAGACAGTCTCTTTGATATCTCAAGCTTGTAAAGTTTTGCTAAAGATAACACAGAAACAGCTACAATCATACATTGACAGAGAACTTCCAGACATTCAAGCGTTATTCAAAAGAGGCCGTAGAACCAGGAACATCATTGCTGATGTCTGATGGAACTTGGCTGAAAGCAGAGAATATAAGAAAGGTGTTTACCTGTGCTTTATTGAACTATGTAAAGGCTTTTGATTGTATGGATCATGACACGCTATGGAGAACATTGCAAAGTATGAGTATTCCGGAACACTTAATTGTGCTCATGAGGAATCTGTACCTGGACCAAGAAGCTGTTGTTTGAACAGAACATGGGAACATTGAATGGTTTAAAATTAAAAAAGGTATGCGACAAGGTTGTTTTCTTTCACCATACTTATTCAACCTGTATGTTGAGCAAATAATCCAAGAATCTGGGTTGTATGAAGAAAAATTTGGCATCAGGATTGGAGGAAGACTCATAAAACCCTGCGATATGCAGATGATACAACCTTGTTTGTTGAAAGTGAACAGAACCTAAAACATTTACTGATGAAGTTCAAAGAGCAAAACCTTCGGTATGGATTATATTTTAATGTAAAGAAAACAAAAATCCACTCCACTGGACCACAAACAACATTTTTAATAACAGAGAAAAGATTGAAGTTGTCAAGCACTTCATTCTTACTGGATCAACTGTCAACAATCATAGAAACAGCAGTCAAGAGATCAAACGATATGTTGCATTAGGCAAATCTGCTGCAATGTTAAAGAGCAAAGATGTCAGCTTGAGGACTAAGGTGCGCCTGACCCAAGCCATGGTATTTTCAATAACCTCATATGCATGCGAAAGCTGGACAGTGAATAAGGAAGACCATAGAAGAATTGATGCCTTTGAGTTATGGTGTTGGAGGAGAATATTGAAAGTGCCATGTGCTGCCAAAAGAACCAAAAGATCCGTTTTAGAAGAAGTACAGCCAGAGTGCTCCCTGGAGGCCAATATGGCCAAACTTCGTCTCTCATACTTTGGATATATTGTCAGGATGGACCAGTTGCTGGAAAGGATATCATGTTTGGTAAGGTGGAGGGTGAGAGAAAAAGAGGAAGACACCCAACCTGATGGATGGCCAAGTGGCAGCATTGATGGACTCAAGTGTGGCAACAATAGTGAGATTGGACCAGGATTGAGCAGTGTTTCATTCTGTTGTGCAAAAGGTCGCTATGGGTCGGTACCAATACAATGACACCTAACAAGTACAACAACAGCATACTCTTATAGCTATTTTTGAGTTATCTTCAACAAAATTTTACTTGCGTGTGGTATTAATGATATTGTTTGATAATTTCTTCATTCCATTGGGTGACTTCTCTTTGGAGTGAGCACAAATATGGATGTCTTCCAATCAGTTGTCCAGGTAGCTCTTTTCCAAATTTCTTGTTTTTGATGAGTGAGAGCCACTAGTGCTACTTCAGTTTGTTGACCAATTTAAATTTGTACTCCGTCAATTCCTGGAACCTTTTTTTTTTTTTTTTTAATAAACCAGATCTTTACTGCAGCTTAGATATCTTTCTTTTTACAACTGGTTTCTGATGAAATGGTTGGTTGCCCATTTTTTGTTGTTCTTATTGATGTAGTGACCCTGTGTATACCTTCCATCTTCTTTTTGATGCTTTCTACATCATTCATTATTTTGTTTAAAGAATCCTTCTATATTGCAAGACTAGTTTTGAAATTTTTCTTCAGTTCTTTCAGGTTGAGAAATGCTGAGTGTGTTCTTCCCTTTTGGTTTTCTTACTCCAGGCCTTTGCACATTTAATTATAATGCTTGACTTTGTCTTCTCGAGCTACCATTTGAAATTTTCTATTCAACTCTTTTAAGTTTCTTGCATTTGTTTTCGCATCTCCTCAATGCAAACTAAATTTCTGTCTTTTGTGTCATAAATTTTGGTCTTTTCTTTCTTTCCTGTCTTAGTATCTAATACATCGATTCTGTTCTTTAAATGATCTCAAAATTCATGGGGGATATATTCAGGGTCATAATTTGGCTCTCATGAACTTATTTTAATTTTCTTCAGCTTCAGCCTGAACTTAAATATGAGAAGTTGATAGTCTAAGGCAGCATCTGGCCTTGTTTTGGGTGATGTAATGATCCTTTTCTCAGTCTCTTCCCACAGATGGAGTCAATTTGATTTCTTTGTATTCTGTCTTGTGAGGCCCATGTGTATAATTGTGTTTTATGTTGTTCATAATAGATATTTGAAATGAAAGAGTCACTGATCTTTCAGCATTCTATCATGCTATCAACAGCATCATTTCTATCACCATGGCCGTATTTTCCAACGACTGAGCCTTCTTTGTTTCCAACCTTTGTATTCCAGTTACCAATAATTATCAAAACTTTTTTTTAATGTTTTATTGTGAATTATGTGGTAGTTTACATGGGAGAATATTAGCTTTACATTCATCCTACCGTATATTGTTACATTGCCATGGTTACGATCCCCTCCATGCATCATCAACCAACCAAAGGGTACACTCCTGCAAGCCTGCTCCCCCAATCATCATTTATGTTCTATTTTATGTCATAATGTTCATTGTAAGATTTTTTTAAAGGACAAAAATATATGAAGTACATAAACTCCCTGATTCCTATCTCCCTTTACCACCCTTATCATTTTCCTCAGAGATCACAGCACAAAGGTGTGGCATAATCCTTTCCCTGAATGAGCTCAAGTTCAAATCCGGTGGAAAAGCTACAACAAATAAACACATTTTGTAAATAGCATTTTATGGAAAGCTATAAGTCCTTTAGAGACTACAGAGAGGTTTTAGAGACACATAAACAATCTGGAAAGGAGCTCTGGTAGCGTAGTGTGTATGAATCGGGCTGCTAACCTTAAGGTCGGCAGTTCGAAATTACCAGCGGTTCCACGGTAGAAAGATGAGGTGGTCTGCTCCTGTAAAGATTTACAGCCTTGGAACCCTGTGTAGGGTCACTATGAGTAGGAAGGGACTCCATGGTACTTAACAACAACAACAACAAACAATCTGGAAGGATAGAGGGGAACTTTGTATAGTATGTAAAAAAGATAGTTTAGGTAAGCATTCCAAGTAGATAAAACAGCAGGAAAGAGAACAGGGAAGTGTCAAGTTCTTTAACATTCTAGAAATGACACTTATGGTGAGAATGGAGGAGTCTTATTTACTTTGCAAATGTAAGCAGAAAATAATCGTGTCTATAAATTTTTCTAAACAATGAATGTGCTAGTTCTCTAAGTATGGCATGCAAGACGAGAGCGGAACGTAAGAAGTAAATTCCAAAGTCATTGTTGTTTTCCTGTGCTACTTGGTTTCTGAGCCCTCTCCTAAGTGGGAATCAACATTAAAAGGAATATAGCAGAAGGATTGTTGTAACTACTTAAGTATATAGTTGCAATCTGTGTCTCTTACTTGCTGGGTAAAAACTTGCAAGTTATTTCACCTGAATTTCCTTACCAGTAAAATCATGTTGATAGTATCATTTCTCTGTAACTGAAAAGTTGCTGTGAAAATTAAAGAAGGTAACAAGTAGAAAATAATCCTATCATTCATAAGCAAAGACCTTTTTAAAATTCAGGTGTTTTGGCTTATCTATTTTACATAGAATTGTTCTTTTTAAATTGGTTGATAAAGGAAAATTTATAGCTAAATTAGAATATCATCAGTAAGATATATGTGTTGTGTTTTTTCCCTTTCAATTAAATATTATTGCTACCAAAATGTCGTATTTTCCCTGAGGCCATATTTTAAATTGTAGCCCTTTTCTACTGAGCACTCCTCAACACTCCTCCTTGCTTTATTTTTTACCATATCACTTTTATTTTTTTTCCAAAACATTTGCAGTAAATGTTTTGCCTGTTTAATATTATCATTCTTCTACCTGGAAGGATAACTGCCCTTAGTCGGTGCATGTAATTGTTTGTTGAATAATCTGTGATGAATGAATACATCTTGTATTCAGTGTCACCTTGTTTGCTCTTCAGATGTGATGATTCCAGAAGATGTTCAAGGACCTACCTTACTTGTTGACCTTCCAGCTGTGACTCAAAGAAGGAATCAAGAAGATTTCCCCTTGTACCAACTCCCCAGGACCCGAGTTGTTTCAAAAGTCTTAGCACACACAGGAGTGCTGTCTTCTAGATATGCTTCGGATGCATGGTATGCATTATTTCTCTTCATTTCCCATCTATGAAAAAAGATGCATTTTGTGCTAGAGCATTTAGTAAACATTCACAGAAAAATGATAATTTTACATAACTGAAATTGTACTATACAAATAGTGTTTTTTTTGTGTGGAAAGTGGATTATAGAGAGTACTTTTTTTTATTATTATAACCAGCTAGGCAAGAAGCATTTGGGGAAACCAAAGGAAGGCATAGATTTGAGAGTTAGAAAATCTGTATGAGGCAGTAAATGATGAGGTGTTGGGATTGAGTAGAGGTAGTTGTGGACGATTCTCGTTTCTGGTTTGCAAAAGTAGATGGATAATAAATATAAGATTATAGGATATGAATAGTTTGGGGTCAAAAATTGAGATTTCAGTTTTTCACTTGTGGATGATAAGTATCTGTAGGACAACTCACAACAAATATATGGGTTCAGGTAGATATTGAAGTCTATTTTGACATGGATAATACAGAGTGTTTTATGTATAGTGTTGGTAAGTGTTGTTGAGTCGGTTCCCACTCATAGCAAACCTTTGTAGGATTTCTGAGGAGCGGCTGGTGAGCTTGAACCACCAACCTTTGCAGTTCAAACTGACCCTGCAGTCCAGTGCATTAACTTGCAATATCATACCAGGACATGCACACTCTTTCTCGATATATATATATATATAGTGGTGATGGTGATTGTGTGCTATATATGTATATATATA